CACGTCCACAGCCCACCAGCCCCCATGTCCACAGTGTGCCCACTTCCTACATCCACAGAGCACCAGCCCCCATGTCCATAGTGTACCCACTTCCCACATCCACAGAGCACTAGCCCCCCTGTCCATAGTGTGCCCACTTCCCACGTACACAGCCCACTAGCCCCTGTCCACATTGTGCCCACTTCCCACTTCCAGAGCCCACCAGCCCCCAAGTCCACAGTGTGCCCACTTCCCACGTCCACAGCCCACCAGCCCCTGTCCACAGTGTGCCCACTTCCCACGTCCACAGCCCACCAGCCTCCCATGCCACATTCACCAACTTCCCACATTCTCCATCCACAGCATGCATGCTTCCCACGTCCTCCGTCCACAGTGCCTACTGCCCACACTCACAGTGTGCCAACTTCCCACCATCTTGCTCTGCATTTTAGTCACACCGGGAACCAAACAGTACAAGGTGTTGGTGACTACAGCACCTTCCATGGCAAGCCAGGAAGCAGTAAATGTGCTCCCCAAACCAAGAGACAGTGAACTCATGCTCGCTGCTCCTACCTCACCTGCCCACGGCCAGAAGGTAAGACAGCAATGGCCACACAGGGCACATGTACATCAACACACACAATGAATTCTCCTGATGAACGCTCAGGAAGTCATGCAGAAAGAGTATGGTGCCCAGGTCAACCAAACGTTTGAGGAAAACAGCCAGCACACTTGCACAGACAGGCATTCCTACCGAGGTGCCTTTATTTTTCCGTTTCTCATCACCTCGACCATCTTCACCATCATCCGAGTCGCCATCACTATCCAGGGCAGGGAGCTCGGGGTCCAGGGGGGGCTCGTACAGCGCTGTGTTCAGTGGCAAATACCGAAGCTCGTCTGGTGAGTACCTAAGTGCAGAGAAAGTGCTCTCACTGTTCCATTTCTATTAGATACAAACTAGCTTACAGCTGCCAAAACAGCCTGAAGCTTTTCAGTCCAATACTCTCCAAAAAGTGATCAGAAATAATTATTTTTTCATTTTCATCATTAGGTTGGGGTAATAAGAAACTTGAACATTTTTACATTTCTTTTTCACTAATCGTGTAGAATATGCATTTGATTCTTTTTTTTTTCCCCCTTTGGTACCAGAGAGCTTGACCACTCAGCTACATCCCCAGCCCCTTTGTACTTTTGGAGACTGGGCCTTGTGAAATTGCTGAACAAATATGCACTTTATTCTTATTATAAAAAGTTAACGTCTCTCCCTTTTACCCTCAACCAAAAAAACATACCAAAATGTGAGCAGGAGAAGAGGGCACAGGCAGCGAGGCCAGCGCACCCTGGCCTCGGCCGCCGCTGCACTCTGCTGCAGGCCTTCCCTGTGAACACTGCAGCAGCCCACCTCGTGAAGCTGCTGACATGCACACTACATACACTCACACATGCACGTAAATCCCAGGAATAGCACTGAAAACACAACGGAAGAAACAATTTCCAGTAACTTAACTTCCAGTTACTTCAGTGTGTATGTGCAGCATGTGTGCTAACACTCAATCACCTATTCTACCTGGAGCTACAGACTGGCCAACCCTTCTCTAAGGGCAGACAGCTCTCAACTGGCTGTCGATACTCAGGGACAACTCTGTCTCACCCTTGGGAGAGACCTCATGCAGGCAAGGAATGGACCAGCACCTCCTTCAACTAAAATGGCACACCAGAAAACAAGGGGGTTGGGAGACTAGCATATGACATTTAATGATTGGCTGACGCCCCCCAAAAATTTTTAATTAAAATTTCTGCCCAAGATTTTAATTTGACTTTCAAGTATAACTCTATAATCTTAAATTCTATCCTCTAACAAACACCTTCTATTCCCAAAGATATGTTATTAAAGTAAGGTGAAAAAGCTGAAGGAAAAGCTGGGATTTTGAAACAAAATGAACCCATTAACCCAGGTGTTGCTGTTGTTACACTCAGACTGGGCACAGGGGATAAGCCCAACTCCTGGGCAGACTGGCAGCGGCGGCCAGCCCCAACGGGTAATATGAGGGGTACCCGCGTGTCGATGCTGCCTTGGAAGACACTCTGCTCCTGCTCTAACCTCCTCTGCAGTCAAGTCAGTGCTTCTCAAACGTGGACCCTGTGGGCAGGGTGAACAATGCAGGCTGAGCAGGAGATCGCAGGTGCACGGCAAGTCTAGTCCCCAACAAGACCCGGGCGCCACCAGTGCTCTGGGCATGGCTCACATCTTTGGCCATGAGGTGCTGCAGAACCCTTGGCCACCATCTGTGATGAACCCACATGGGACAAGTGGGGACAAGGGCAGTCCGGCCACTCTGGCAGTGTTCAGACTCTGGCTGATGGGAGTTCTATGCCACAGAACCAGGATGAAGAACACTGACATGAACCCCACACACTATCTTACACACCCAACATTCATTAGGAGACCCGTACATAAGGGTCTGAAACCCGTGGTGACGAGAACTACCAGAATACCTCTTGTAATACTCCTGGAACTGTCCGGGGATGAGCGCCACGGGGTAAGAACTGACCTTTGTCCGCTCTGTTGGCAACACTCTGTACTTCCCTTGTGGAACCTGGATGACCTGTATCGACACAGAAGAGCAAATCCAATTCCACGAGAGGAACCAGGCTCCAGGAAAAGCAGCCCCAAGTACGGCCACTGCATGCGCCCTCCACCCCAGAGACTCCTACAGTGTAAGTGACAGGGAGAGTTATGGCCCAAGGGGTCAATGTGAGCATTCTCTTCTCCTGTTCCCCAGAGCGGTTTCTGAAGAAAGGCAGATCTCTCGCTGACCACACAACAGCAGCAACCAGGGCAGCTTATAAAACCTCTCTGAAGCTCAACCTTCTCCTCCATGACATGACATGACAACAGCTGCAACCTCAGGTGGTTTACTGTGAGAACCAAATGAATTACTATGTAAATGTCTCACAGTCACCTGGGACACACAACCACCATAAAGGGAAAGAGATGGCACAACTGCAAAAACGCAGCCGAGAACCATTAAAATCATATCGTGGTTTCAAGGGAGGAAAGGACACAGAGCTGGTACCAAAATAGTGACAACAGAGGAGAGTTAACCACTGCAACAATGAGCAGCGCGTAGGCTCGGGGACTCCCAGAGCTAAGTCCTCCTACGTGGGTCTGCAGGTCAAAGTAAGCTCTTCTTTCTTCCATGCGTTCCCGGTTCAGGTTGCTGTTAAACTCAGCTGCTTTTTTAGCAGCCTTCTTAATGTACTCAGGCACTTTGCTGGCTTCAACTTTCTGAGTGTTCTGTTGTTGCATTTGCTGAAATTAAAAGACTCAAGTTGGAAGTCACAAATAACTTTACAAAACGTCAGTATCCCGAACCCAAACAAAAGAAGCCAGGCACCTCAGTTACTTACAGAATACTCTTTGTAATGATCTGTAATTCGCTGACGTTCCTTCTCCTGTAGAATGACAGAGTACTCAGCATGTTTGGCTGGATACTCTTTTATCATTAAGTCAATCACTTCATCACTGCGCAATGCTGTCAAACCTGTTACAGACAAAAGGGAGGTGAAAAACTCTTCTAAGGCCACTGTGTGAGAAATTAGCTTATCCTTCAAACTGCATTTAAAAGGTTTTCAAAGAGTAAAAGCAAAATTCTGTAATACATTTAAAAATAATAAAAATTCACAACCAAAAAAACAATTAAAAATAATGATATCTTTCAAAGATAAACCAACTCTTTATCCAAATCAATTTATCTTACAGTCTATGTATTATAAACATATAACCCTTTACTTAGAAATAACTGTTGAACAATGAAACACACTGCCACCAACATAGGACATCAGAGGTCTAAGAAAATGTTAAATTCCATATACTACTTATACACAATCAATTCAATTCACATTTCAAAAATCTCATCAGCATCTAAATGTACATAATTTTGTAATTATGAAAGTACTTTTCAAAACTCAAAGTTACAGATTTTACCAATTGCAGAATTGAACTCCCATAAATTTACATTATATCAAAAGTAGCCATGTTACAATAAAAGGCTTATGAAAGAAAACTACAAATAAAGCAGGTAGATAAGAATTACCATATGATGCAACTATTGCACTCCTAGGCATGCACCCCAATATATAAAAATGCAGCTAAAAGTGCCTGTTAAGAGATAAGAATCTGTGGGTTCAGGGCCGGGGTTGTGACTCAGTGGTAGAAAGCTTGCCCACCCAGCATGTGTGAGGCACTGGGTTCAATTCTCAGCACTGCATATAAATAAAGTAAAGGTCATCAACAACTGAAAAAAAAAAAAAAAAAAAAAAAAAAGAAACTATGGGTTCAATCCCCAGGAATGTACAAAAAATAGAGAAGGATTTATGCTTTTTCTAAAAATTACATATTTTACACATGACACTTTGGAAGTTCTATGACAATTATCAAAAAAAATTCTGATATAAAATATAAGCTTCATATTCCTTTGCATTTTAATAACCAAAAATAAGCAATTTGGAATTTGAATAGTTCAGTATACTTCATTAGTTTTGTAGACAGCTGAGGAAAGGAGATGATCACTCATCACGATCACCTCTCAATGTTCAACTGGAAAAATTCACAAAAAGGCCTTCCTTACCTAAAGTGCACTGAGTCTCTGTGATGACATTCAGCTCCCTCAGGTACAGCTTCTCCTTGTGAGACAAATCTCGTCTCTCTAAATCTCCAAGAAAAGAACAAAAAGATAATTAAAAATAGGGAAATATCATACATTGGCAAAACTCTTAAAAGATTAAAAAAACTTGATTTTCAAAAAAATTTCATATTACATATTCCAACAATTATCAAGGGAATTACACAAAAATCCTATGAATTCAGGGCTGGGGTTGTGGCTCAGTGGTAGAGCCCTTGCCTGGCATGTGTGAGGCACTGGGTTTAATTCTCAGCACCACATATAAATAAGTAAAATAAAGATCCATTGACAACTAAAATATATTTTTTTAAAAAATCCTATGAATTCAAGAAACAGAAGTTAAAATGAAACTGAAAACAGAATAATCCAAAGCAAACAGGTAACATAAAACAGCATGAACAGAGTTCACCAGAAGTAGCCCTTCTTGTATTAGGACTCCAAAGCTCAAGGGACAATGAGTGGGAAACAATCTAAAACTCATGACTATGAAATGACTTTTTCTAAAATTTCCCAAAGGAAATTCACCTTTCTCATTTTGCCTTTAAATCAGTTTATGAGACTTCAGAACAAATCAAGACTAGAGAGCAGTAATGAATGACAGCGGTTAACTGAAAATCAGCAAGCACAAGACTACAAGCCATGTCACAGGAGGGTGGGCACAGAGCTCAGGGGCAAAGCGTACCACGAGGCCCCTGCAAGCACTCACGTGCCAGGATCCATCCAAAGAAATGCTACCAGCTGGGAGCCGGACATGATCCACTGCACAAACTAAGACTGGAGTACCTGGATATTTCCGCTTGAAGGAGGTCACACCCAGGTACTCGCTGACTTGCTCCTGAAGCATATAATATTCTCCGGTTTCGTCAGGCGGCCATTTGTACTCTATCAGATTTTCAGCTGGATAGTAACTGAAACTAAGCACAGAAACATGTTATGCCTTAAGTGTGCCTTCTACTAAATTTTAATCATCTTTATTTTTGAGGCCATTTAAAAACTATTTAAATACTTAAATTCTTGTTATAACTTGATTTCATGTTTATAAAAGAAAATTAGGAAACAATCATCTGGAATATCACATACATTTTCTGTAAGTCACAGGAGCTAACACTCACAAATGCTGGGGAAAAAGGCCTAAGAGACAAAGCAAGGCACAGCTATCAGCTCTGCATTCAGTCTTCCCGGCTTAACACTCACTACAAGTATTGCATCCACACAAGGTGTAATGTAAGCAACTTCTGACTCTGGTCTGCTGCTCAGTGAGCCACCAACAGCTGAGAAGGCAGAACCCTGAAGATCTATTTCTCAAAGTGGGGGACTAGGAACCAGGATTACCTGTTCTTATATAAACTTCATAAACCCAGAAGCAAGGAATGGACCTAGTTTGAAAGTGCCAGCACATTCTCTCAACCCTGCAAAGAGCGCAGAGTTCAGGATCTGGGCCAATCTGACTTCTACCTGAAGGGCAGGAAGGGAACACTGTTGACAGCATCTATCCATCTACACAGCAAATGAAGAAAACAGCGTTCCCAGAGCTGAGCTGAGCTGGGCGCAGGATGCCACTTGCAGCAGTGTGACGCTAAACCCCACCTCTTATCACATGTAGAGGGTAACTCAACATAGTCAGCAACTTAAACAGAAGAGCTCACTAGAGAACTCTGATTTGGCAATGGGTTCTTAGATATGACACCAAAAGCCCAGAAGCTGAGAGGGAAGTATTTGGGCATTATTCTAACAAGGGATTGATACCCAGGTTAAAAGGAAAAAAAAAAACAACTCCTGAAACTCAGCAACAAAAGTGACCCAAATAAAAAATGGACACAGAACACTTCTCCAAAGCTGAAAATGGCCTCTAAGCACATGAAAAGAGGCTCAACATCACTGGTCATTATGGAAATGCAAATCAACATCACAATAAGATTCTCACTTCACATTTTTTAGGAAAACCACTACTGAAAAGAAAAAGAGAATAAAAAAATTGCAATGATGTGAAGAAACAGGAGACTGCATTGCTGGGAAGAATGCAGAGTGCTTCAGCCATCATGGGGAAGTTTGTACCATATGATCCAGCTATTGCTTGCACTCCTAGGCATATACCCCAAGTAACAGAAAACAGGGACTCTGTTTCCTTGTGTTCACAGCAGCACTACCCTCCCCAACCACAGGGTGGAAATGACCCAAAGGTCCACCAACGTATGATGACTAAACAAAATATGGTATATGCACACAAAATGAAATATTCTTCCAACTTACAAAAGAAACTGCGACGTATGCAACAAATGGATGAAGCTTGAAGACATGATGCTCAGTGAAAACATCAACACATGCAAGAACAAAAATTGCATGGTTCCACTTCCATGAGGTATCTAGGGCCATCAAATTCACAGGGACAGAAAGCAAAAGGGCACCCAGGGACTAGAGGGAAGAAGGGGAGTTTCTGCTTGATTATGGGGTACTAAAAAAACATCTGGAAACGATGGTGTGATGGTCGTACACCATTGTAAATGCAATTAATGCCACTTATCTGTATGCTTAAGAAGAATTAAAATGATGAGTTTTATTTATTTAAATATTTCACCATAATTTTTAAGTGCATTCATCAGCAAACCAACTGTGGAGTCACATTATAAAATAGGAAGAAAATACCATTTTTTAATGACTGTTTTGCCAGAGCTGGAGCTGGGAGGAGAGAGTAAGAGAGCATTGATGCAAACAAGAGAAATGTCACAACAAACACTGAGCAGCGAAGTGACAGTACCCAAGGTCCTGGCTCGAAGTCTCGCAGCTTCTGGAGCTGTCTCCCGAGCCCATTCGCCTCCTTTTGGATGGTTGGGTCCCATCATTGGAATTATCTTCATTATCTTCCTACACATTTAAGTCAAAAATAACAACAAATAAGAGATTAAATAATAGACAAGAATAACTGTGTTTTCTTCCCAGGTTTGCAAAGAGTCTCGAGTGAAAGGCTCTCTAAGAACAACTAGTTATACAAATATTAACTTCCTATTGTAACTAAAAAGGACTAAGAATTGGGCATAAGCAAGACTTACAACAAAACTAAAACTTGATCTTCAAACCAAATAAAATAAGAAAGTTTTCCATTAATCTGTATCTCTAGCTCCACTTTCATTTCTTACCAACTGAGGTCAACTGATCCTTCACCCTGAAGCTGAAGCTAACCTCCTACTCAAGCCAGGGGCAAGGCTGTGGACCAGACCAGGTACAGCATTTAATTCAACTTAGAACTGGTTCACGACTACTCCAATCCACAGCCATAGGCACTTACATTCTTGTGAAAAGCAGAGGGCTAAAAATACATTATGAATCCTAACCACATTTTCTTTACATTGCAAAAATTTAGCAAAAATACATTCCAATAAGCATCATCAATCATTTAGTGATATACACATATCCAAAAAGGAGCTGCTTTCATATATTTTTAGTGCAATTCATTATTCGATAGTATCAAGGTGTTAAGTTCAACAATTCCATCAAGGGAATGAATGAGGTATCAGATGTTAGAAAAGTGATTTATTTACATACTAGCCAATATTTGAGGTCTAAAACTCAAGACTTTTTTTCCCCCCAAAGTAATGTAGCTTCTAACAACTGTTAAACACCACCATCCTCTTGTTACATCTTAAACTGAAAATCATCCTGCAAGAGAATATCAAAAGGCAGGACAGGCATATCAGAGAGACCGCCCTGAAGGGTTTCACTGGGCTCTGCCCTCTTTCCCCATGTGGCTGCTTTCTGTAAGCTCTCCAAGAAAGGAGGGCAATAGTGTGCTCCTATCATGTGTCTAGTGCAAGGGTTAAATGAGTTGACGTCTGGAAAGCACTGTAGCAAGGAGAAGCAAGTAAATGTCTGATAAATGTGACTTAAAAGTATGATGATGATGATGATAAAGTCTCAAATGTCTCCAGTTGGCAGGAATTCACAAAGTTTCTTTTCCAAATAGTAAAATAAAGCAGTCTCTTCTTCAGTTCTCATAAAATAAGAATTCAGTTAAACAGCCTGAATAGTCCCTTGAAGATTCAAAACCAAGTACAACTGAAAGAGTCTAAAATCATTTTCCCAAAATGTATATTGATCGGCATCACAACTGCAATGCTTCATATTCAGTGATCCAGACAGATCCAGGCACTCAAGTCTTTGAGAACTTTTAAGGATTTAATCATCTTCTTTTTTGCTTGTTTCAGTTTTCGGGATTTTTTTGTTGGTGGTGGTTTTGTGTATGTGTATGTGGGTGTGGGTGTGTGTGTGTGTGTGTGTGTGAGAGAGAGAGAGAGATGTGATGCTGGGGATGGATTCCAGAACCTCCAAGAAGCTAAACTGGTGCTCTACCAAAAGCCACACTTCCAGACCGTTTTTAAAGATTTTTACATCAATTTATTTATTTTCCTTTGTTGGACTAAAAAAATTTAGACACTCAAAAATCAACAAAAACGGAAAAGCTGAGGCTCAGCGGTAGAGCGCTAGTCTAGCATGTGTGAGGCCCTGGGTTCGAATCCTCAGCACCACATAAAAATAAATAAAATACAGGCATTGTGTCCAACTACCACTAAAAAATAAATATTTTTTAAAATAAGTAGATAAAAACAAAAACACAATGCAGAAACTTCAAAAAAACCTGAAACCATAATTTTACACACTGTGCAGACTACTGTAACCGCACTTCTATGGGATGGAAGCACATACATAGCTGGCCTTCTTGCAGACAGACCCTGCAGCGTGTCTCTCTGTATCCCGGAGTGGGGTTAAACTTCAGGAACCTATCTGAAGGCAGGACACTGGGAAGGAGGAGTGTTGAAAAGCATCCTGAGTGTAGAGTGAGACGTTTGCATGGCAGAGTTCATGGGTGGTCTCCACCTTTGGATCCAGTGAGCTCCTCTCATCAAACCCTTCAGGTGACACGCCAGAGGCCGAGGCGCGCTCCGGGGGCGCTGGCCGAGCGCCAGAGGGTCCGGCGACCTCGGATCCTCCTTCAGGGCCTTGATCCTGTAGCCTGGAGGGTCCCAGGACGGTGCAGGGACCTCTCGGACCAGGCGGGCGTCTCGGCGGAGAGCTGGTCCCCGGGCAGCGGAGGCGCCAGGCCGCCACCTGCGGTCCTCTGCCGGGAGGGCGGCCGTGCCCAGCCCGCCGCTTCCCCCAAGTCCCAAGTCTGCAGAGCCCTTCCTGCCGGCCACCCGGGTGCCACACCGCGGGCTCACTCCAGAAGCCAAGTGTCCGCGCGGCGACACTCCTCCCGTCGGTTTCCTCCTCTTGTCGGCGGCTCCGAGTTCCGCCGCCGCGTCCGCCCGCCCCCGGGAGGGCGCCAAGTTGGTGGGAGTTCGCGGGGCGGCCGGGACCGCGGGCGCAGGGCCGCCGCCCGCCTTCGCCGCGGCCGAGCTCTCCAATTCTCGTCCCGCTCCCGACACCTCCCACGGCGGCCCCAGCCCGGGTCCCGGCCGCGGCCTAGGACGCCGCCCCCGGCGGGGACCGCGGCGCGCACTTGTTGCTCGGGCGGGCGGCGGGGGGCCTGCGCCCTGGGCCCGGGGCCTCCGCCCGCCGTCCCGGCCGCCCGCCGCCCCCCGTCCCCACCGGGGCGCGGCCCTGCCCCAGCCCGCCGCCGACGTTGGGCCCCGCCGCCGCCTGCTCACCTTCGGGGACTGCGCTCCGGGAGTGGCCGGGTCGCTGTCGCACGGCCGCGGGGACAGCGCCGCCCCGGGCCCGGCCGCCGCCGCCA